GCTATTTTTTTTTGTAAAAGGTATGTCGCCAAAATGCATAGGTCCTGAGAAAATTGGATTTTAATTTACTGTAGATTTTGGTTATTGACAGTAGATTATTTGGGGGTATTCTAGTCTAATTAAATTTTCTTGCTAAATTTGTAACTAAATTAAATATTTTATACAATTCAGGTTATCTTCAATCTTAACTTTGCCATAACACTTTTGAAATCCTTTATCTCTATAGACTGACTTTTTAATAGAGATAAGTTTCTCAAAATCATAAAATATTCATTTTGTCATAAATTAAACAAAAAGAAGTTTAATTAGATCAGAATACACTAGAAAAATCACCTGTACTATAAATTGACATCCATTTTTCTCTGGATTTTGGAAACAGAACATTGTTTAAGGTGTCTCGGTGACCTCTATATTTTAACTAAAAAATAAATTTATTTATGTTTGATTATCCCAAAAACTTTATATACCAAGTTTCATTAAAATATTAAAAAAGCCGTCTTTAAAAGTTTAAAGTAAATCAATGTTTTAAAAGCCCGTTACTTTTTTATTATTTAATAGATTATTTTATTGTTAATAGTTTATATTTATCTAAGAAAGCTGTTCTTGAAATAACTCATTATTATAGGATGCCATACATTTATATATGTACTTCCATACATATACAGGGTGTGCCATTTAACACTCCCGCTGCAATATCTCCGAAATGAAGAAATTTATTTTAGTTCCAGAAAAACAGGGGTTGTAAGATCCCTCGAATAGCTTCAAATTGTAGTTAGAACTGTTAGTTCAAATCTTTCTGTATAGATGGTGTGGCGATACTAACTAATTTTTTGATCCCTGGAACGTGAAAATGCAGTCCATCTCAAAGATCGTTAAATTTTGAGTAATTTTTGTAATATAAAGTTTTTCCCAATTTTTACTTGTTTTCGAGACATGTCGACTTCAATATACAATTTTGATGGAACAGGAAAATCTATTATTTTATCTAAATCACACCGAGACTAAATATTCTTTTAAAATATTTTTATAATGACTATTCACACCACATACTATCTAACAAACATAATTATAAAAAAAACAAATGATCAACTACAGAAAAAAAATTGTACAATTGTAAATCTTATAACTAATACAGTTAAATTGAAAGACACAAACTAATAAAACTGGAATTATTGGAAAACTGATATGTGTCATCTGGCATAGGTACATGTTTTTATGTTATTTTAAACAAATGACACGAGCCACCTATGACTGCATTTTTTAATAACATTTGATAAAATACGGTTCGTCTCTGCCCCTTATAAGATTTACCATTGTACAATTTTTTTTTCTGTAGTTGATCATTCGTTTTTTTTATAACTTATTGTTTGTTTGTTAGTATGTGATGTGATTAAAGTCATTATAACAGTATTTTAAAAGAATATTTTGTCTCAGTGTGATTGAAATAAAATAATAGGTTTTCCTGTTACATCGTACATTGCATATTGAAGTCGACATATCTCAAAAACAAGTAAATATAGGGAAAAACTTTATATTACAAAAATTTACTCAAAATATAACAATCTTTCAGATGAATTGCATTTCCACGTTCGAGCGATCAAAACATTTTTTAGTATCGCCACGCCATCTATACAGAAAGATTTGAACTAACAGTTTTAAGTTTAAGTACAATTTGATGTTATTCGAGTGACCTAACACCCCCAATTTCCTTAATTAAAATAAATTTTGGAGATATTGGCAGCGGGAGTGTTAAATGGCACACCCTGTATATACATGTCTATAATAAAAAAAAATAGATTTTGTGTAGTCTCCTGATGCAACTGTTTCCATGATAAAGTAATCTCTTACATTTCTTTGCAAAAGCAAGATGTAAGTAATATTTTAAATGGTAAAGGCCATAGGGTTTCATAACAAAGTCAATACTAGTGTATTTCAAAATTTAAGCACTTTTAAGATGCGTCATTATATCAAAATGTAGCTTTATATTTTAACGTTGAATTTAGTTAACCAGTTCCTAAATAAAATAAAAGTAAAAAACCACAATTCTGTACTCTTACGATCTATAAACTTTTAAAATATATAGCAAAAGCCTAACGATAAAGCTAAAATTGCTGTGAGAACTAAAACTTCATTATGCAAACGAGTTTTAAAATTTTGTTAACCCCCGTGGAAAAATTCTGTTGCCCGTTATCTGCTACAAAATTTTTCACTGAACTATTTATATTTTAATGTTTAGCAGAGAAAGAATTGAAAAATTTTGCATGTTACTTTAGAAACGGAAGAAAACCTTGAATTGAAAATTTCGGGATGATTACTCCAAATATTACAAGCAGTTTGAATATGAGTACTATTTGATATATTATTTGAATTTTTATACAAAGCGATCAGTTTTCTCAGTATAAAATAACTGATTGTTTGAATAAATTTCAATTTTTTCTCGAACTTGTGTAATATAAAACATTTTTTGACAGTGGCAGATATATCTTTGCAGTCCTAGATATTTACTAGCGCTCTCATACAGTAAAATGTTTTTATTGAAAGTTGTATTTAGTCTTTTTAAAAAAATAAGCACTTCAACTAAAATTAAATAGTAATGTTTCAATTAAGTAGTTTCTGATACATCTTTATTCCAGATATTTAACTAACAAACTATATGGTTTTTCTTTTATTAAAAAAAAGTTATGTAAGTAGTTAAGTCAATGTTGAGAGTTTGTTTATTTTTTCACATACTTTGCTCTATTTAAGAATTATCTAGTCTGTAGATATAATGGATAAAAAACTAAACAATGTCTTAACCTAAAGACTTTTTAAGGTGCTATAACCATGCTTAAATGGTTTGTCTATATTTTTCTTCAATTCATATATACAGAGGATTCTAACGAATTTCGTATATATATTTGGTTGGTAAATTTCTAATAGTTTTAAAATTGAATCAGTAAAATCCCTAGCTTGTTAAGTTAGTGTGCGATATATGGTTTTCTAAGGTCATATTGTTAAAAATTTATACACATATATCTACCATTTCCTGTGTATGAACCAGTAATATATATCCATAGCTGTAGTGCCTCATCATTTTTATACCTAAACATAAATAGGGAGTATAGACTGATTGATTGATTTTTATTCATTAGTGTGACAAACATACTAATAATAAATATTCATATCTGTACATAAATATTTTTACTTTCATGCCAATCTAATGTATATTGTTAATACCTTAACCATGGATTTGAGTTATCTTTTCAGTAGTTTGTGTTCTGTTGTTTTTTTATTTTACTCCAATAAATTTTTTAACAAGATCGTGACTTCTTCATAGAATAATTTTAAATGATTAATGCCCTATGAAGCATTAAACATTTAGAAATTAACTTTTAGGGCCTTTAAGTATCTGTAAATGAAATGCCCAAATAGAGCAGTTAAATGCCAAGAAAGAATTAAAAAGTTGGTGTCATTAAATATCATTTTTGATAAATTAAAATTTTTTTATGCTAGGGTATGATTTTAAATTCTCAGGATTGATATCAATTTAATTTCTAAATTTAATGCCAAACTGAAATAGGATGCCGAATAAAATATTTTAAGTAAATATGTACATTTTTATGGATATGGATATCCACAAAACCATATTTTTTTATAATTTCAAAATATTTTATGAGAATCGTGGCATTTTTGGTAAAATAATTAATATACAGGCTAATTCAAAATTCCGTACAAAGAATTTAAGGGCTTATTTTCAAGGTCAAAATAAAAAAATTTCACCATAATCGTATGTAGTTATAAAATTTGAAAATATGGTGTGCTTTTTATCAGCTAATATCTCGGAAACGGTTAGTCTCAGAGATTTCAACCAAGTATACCTTTTTGGTTAAAATTAATATGGGAATAAACGCACTAATACGAAACGTCAATGTACAGGGTAGCAAAAAAGTTAGGGCCAATTTAATTCAAGCGTACCCTTATAGGTGGCGCCCTCTACAAACAGCATCAAAAGCAATGACATATTTAAATTTGCCATCCTAAAAAACCCCCGTACTCCAAGTTTTTTTGCGTAGGTACATTCAAATCTATTCCTAAAAAATCGAAAAAAATCAAAACTGATACCCTGATATATCGAAAACTAAGCATTTGTGGAATTGGAAGAAAACTATTTTAAGCTGAAAATATGCCACTAAATTTTTTCTACTGAATTTTGAATTACCCTGTATATTTGACAGAACTTCTTCAATGACAATAATTAATAAAAAATACTACAGAAAAAGAATTTCCACTGCATCTTGATCTCCACCACTGTGAATGGGAAAAAGTTTTTGCAATCGTCAATTTAAAGGCCAGTAGCATGTTAAATTAGGTCAGATCAACCATTTTATAATTTTTATTATAATGTATTTTTGACAACATGACTTTATCATCCTGTACTTTTTCTAAAGTCTGTGGTAGGAAATCTTGTGTTAAAAACGATGTTTCCTGTCGCCTGCCTCAGTCACTATACGTTTTAGGTACATCCAATATACTATGTATATGCCTTTGATAAATCATTATTTGTTTTATTAATTGATCAGTGTTAAATATTGTTTCATTAGTAGGTATTTGTCATCAGTTCTGTAAACTACGCAATGATCTAAAATTGTTAGATAAAAAAGAAAACAAAAAAATCTGTGTGGTTCGATTATACTATATATATATATATATAATGGAAAATAGAGGACTTTTAAGTTTTTTAGTTAAATAGTCGCCTCAAGCTTCCCTCTTTAATTTTCAGAAATTTTTAATGCATGCATGCATAGTGTTCATTTTTTATACTTAAATTTGAAATATTCCCCTACTGTTGGCGATATAGGTTGGCAACAGTACTTTTATATATCAAATTTCAGAGTACAGATATCGTGTTATCGAGATGTGGTTTAGTGTTTAGTAGTCCTTCCAGTTATAGTTGCAATTACTTAATTCAAATTTTCAAAATTTACCGCGTTTTGTTCAACAGTTTTCCGATCGGCGTCGCTAGTGGTCCTCTAAAGAATGCATTCAGAATGTTCAACATTTTAACCCAGCTGTCAGTTGTCGAGGATTCATGGTGAAGTTTGTGTTGTGAGTGAAAGAATGGCTTCGTCACGGAAGAAGCAAGATGAGAAAAACTTAAAGACTCTACGTGAATTAGGAACTTTACTGCAAAATAAGTACTGTTTCGATTGTAATCAACGTGGACCTACTTACGTGAACGTTACCATAGGATCTTTTGTGTGTACAAAATGTTCTGGAATGCTGTAAGTACAGTTTTGATTCTTAAAAAATTGGCAGGTGCTTTGTCGGTCTTGAAATTCCACCTTTCTAACGTGCCCTTATTATTATCTACCTGGTACAACCGGAAACCTACTATTATATTAGTAAAAAAACTAGACAATACCAATATTTGAGTATGAAAATTAACAGACAATAGCATTTCCGCGGTGCTGTAATAAATAAATTATTTGTAAGAGGAACTCTTTTATTGTTTATTTGTCTCATTTAAATTCTGCTTTACATTTCAAATATGAAAGGCGCACTTTGACCGAACTATATTTATTTGTTTATTTATAAACTATGTACCTTTTGAAATGATGCAGGATTTACTTTATAACTTAACAGAACAGGCAATTTAATTGTTTACTCGTTCGGTAAATTTCTAAAGTGCTTCTTGAAGAAACAAATCACAATGAAGCCGCTTGTTCTGTTCTGGATGTTACTTAATGAACCGTGTCAAAATAACTTCCTTTCAGTTATAAATTATAATTTAAATCATTTGTCCATTACCTATAACCATGTACCTACCTAATAGGTATAATGTACAATACCTAATAGGACTTTATCTCAATTACCACAAGGTTTCGATATGAATAATTCAATTCAATGGTCAATTAACGGTTATACTGAAATGTGGATTTAATAATTTGATAGAATTCAGTAGGTACTTATCTCAAAATTATTTGGTAGGTAGGTACCTTATATCTACCTACGAATACCGTATTCCGTTTCTATGTTTCTCTATATTATACATAATTATTGTAAATCTCCAAAATATTATTATGAAAATAAATTAATATCATAAAATATCGAAATGCCTCCAAATCTCTAATATTTTACTGCATACTGATTAGGTGACCCTACCATCGGTTATGCCAAAGAGTACATCTACTCCATGCATAGGTAGGTACTAATTGCATAACAAGATTTGTTATAAAAGCCACAATATTCCTGAAGCTAAAATCGAATTCAATAAATATTTGGATATTCCTAGTGATCTATCAATTGCCTGGAACTTCCGGTAATCTATTAATTATCTATACCTGTTACCTAGATAACCAAAAGAGGCGAAAATACTTAGTCGAAAGTTTTATCAATGGACTTGATATAAATTTATGTTCAAATTTAGGTAAACATTATAAATAATAAGAGCAATCATTATTCCATATCATATTATGTGAATTCAGTACTTACCCATTAAATCGGTTTACATTCTTTTGTTAAATTTGAAGAAATATACATATTTTGGATAATGATTGGATAATTTTGCAAATGAAACGTGGAAAATATTTTTCTTAGATTGTAAATTCGAAATTCAGAGTTTCAAAGTAACAGGACAAAATATGTTTGTTTCAGTCGCCTCTAAGAGTTGTTTTCGCCATTTGATAGTTTATTAACATTACTGATAAGTTTATTGGTAAATAAGTTGACGCAAATTTCTTCACCTACCACCGGCTATTAGATTAACATGTAATCTCTAGGTCAAAATATGTTATTTATTTTTATTTTCAAATCACTGTACTTGTCAATTTATTTATAGTCATATATTTCTGTACAGTATTTATTTTCTTTATGATAGTGCCAACTGCAGTTGCAAATCTATTTCTTGATATTTATTACAATGTGAAGTTTTTTTAAATAGTTACTTACCTATTAAAAAAAAGCATATATTTTAATATTAGTTCTCGCATTTTTTGCTCTATTTTAAGGCTATTAAGCTAGTTAGTTCAACAAATTAAAAAAAATCTTATCAAATGAAGTCAAACATAGTTCTTCCATACCAGAAATCTAGATACTTATGCAAAATATATGTAACCTCATGAACAAGACTGCTGATATTGCGGGAAACCACAAAGATAGCTGATAAACAGCTAGTAGTAAATAATTATCCAGAATAAAAATTAAAAATGATATGCCTCTATATGATTAATACAAAAAAACATACTTAGGTACTTACCTGATTTTTATTTTATTTTTATCAAAATTGCTTTAACTTGCTTACAGTGAATTTTAGAAAAGTACCGTCAACCTTTAAAGTTCGTGACTCGTTTTTTTGGTACCCTGTATAAATCACAATAGCTGTGGCAAAAGTCACAACCTACCCTCCCAACTCTTCTCTTTCAATTTACAATGCACTTATTCATTCTCATTGTTCTGCCCAAGAAGCAATAAATATTAACTTATTCTTTTTACTCCACTCCTTGCGGTATATAGGTGTATATAGGTGAATGACTCACGGTGCTCGGTTCACTTGCAGTGACTAGTGCACACGTCACGCGTAGGTAATCATTGTCTTATGTGACATTTTAGTGTGTAGTTCTTTTTCAGACATTAGCCTCGGTGAAATTTAGTTAGCTGAACAGAATTGTTTAACTGTTAACACTTTTGGTTGCCTTTAAAGTTCTAATTACAGCGACTCAAAACCCAGATCCATGTTTACTTTTTTAATGGAAGTCGTCATTATCGTACTGATTAATCATATTCGGTGGCAATAATAAATTTAATCAAAATACGTCTGTATTCTTTTTAAAAGACAGTTTTGTGTCTTCTTAAAAGTTGGACCCGTGTAATCAAAGACAATGCTGTCTTTATATTCCAGTCATTGTGAAGGTGACAGTAAGATATTACTTATAGCAATGTCAACATTATACTATTTTTATAATGTTCAGTACTCGGTCCAGTATATGTCTGTTTTGTCTTTAAATAGGTACAAATTAAGGATTAAATGCCTGTCAAAGACAAAAATCTTTGAAAATTTCTTCGGAAATTGCAGTCATGTTTTAAATTTCTTTTTATACAGGGTGTCCAGGAAATGGTGGGCAATCTCTAAAGGCGGGTAACCATTTGTGGCAAATGCCCCGTAACGTTACACCGAACATGTTACGTTACAGCTAGTGGAGACGGAAAATTGTTGCATGGTACGTGTAACAAATTTGACACGCGTAACTAATCCGGGACGAACCATCAGTTGTCGGTTTTTAGTCGTCGCATCAAAGGGATGCAACAGTAGGTACTTTCTGCCACATGTTAAGACGGGGTTACCCTTTTGGCCGTAACGTTGCCTGTTGCACATGTGATTTTGTCTTATTTTTTGTTTCGTCAGTCTTTTGTATATGGTTTGGGGTGGTCAGTCTGTTTTCTGCACTGACTAGGAAGAGTGTGTTTTTCTGTGTTTGTGCCATGGAGTGGAGTAAAGAAAAGATTTTCGGAGATTTCCGTTTCTTATTCTTCAAAATTGTATGATGAATAAAAATATATGACGCTGCTGCTAACTGCAATTGCAGTGACGAATCCATTATTGCAGTCAGATTCATACTGCGAGTTTATTTATGTTCCTGTGTCGTCTCGTAACCTTATTTTGTTACGTTACGGAATGAATGATACGACCAAATCCACACATAGTTTCGCAGCGAACCGTGTTACCTTTTGCAACAGGCCATAACTTGTTCGTTGTTACGTTACGGAGCATCGCCACAAGTGGATACCCGCCTTAAGATATGGCCTTGCAATCAAGTTCACACTCGGGTTCACCCTGTGGAGTTATTAGTTCTTGAAATTGAGTATTGAAAATCGTTTTTTTTTTTCTAATTACAATTAGTTAATTTTTAAATACAAATAAAGCGCCCTCAGCACTTTTGGCCTCCCAAAAAATGTATGAGTCTGTGTTTTCTAAGATGTACGTACTTTTTTAAGTGAAAAAAGTATACTGATTGTAATCGATATAACAGACCGTTTTTGGGAGAAACTTGAAAACAAATTGTTCTTTGTGAAATGTCGAATACGTTTTGTTGAATCAATATCAAATGCATACCTTTTTCACTTAAAACGTACGAAAATCTTAAAAAAGACAACAAAAATTAAAAAGTTACCCCTATATATTTTTTTGAGAGCCTAGACTACCCCCGGACCTCCAAAGCTCCTATCAGTAAAGTAAGACGTTTTTCAGGTTATCCTGGGCTCAGCTTTAGCACAAATATCAGTAAAGGGCATATCCCAATAAGATGGTCAAAAGTCCCCCCTCTGGGACTTTCACCGGACATAGGGCATTCGATTCGGGATCAAAAAAGACCAAGCCCCCTAAATTTTCAGCCCCTGACAGTGTCCCCTCCGTCTGCTAGGGCGAAAAAGCTGTTTTTTAGTATTTTTGCGATAACTCGGGCTAGAAATATTATTTTTAAATGCGGTTTGCGGCATTCGAAAGGTTTTTCAAAGGAGCAGGCGTGTGATTTTTTCGGATTTTTCGGCTCCATAACCGAAAAATGGCGGCCATTTCAATATTTGTAACGTGATTTTCAGCACTTTTTTTCTTCCCGGCACAAAATTGAAAAACGACATTTTGTGGCATTTTTTATTACCTTTCAGATGGTTTATTGCGAAAAATTTTTTAAATGGTGCAAAAGGTCGAAAAAGCGTCAAATATGCGATTTTGGTCATTTTTGACCGATTTTCGACGGATTGGTGATCTTATTGCCACGTTCTTGCGGGTATTGAATCACCATCAAGTGCCTGAGACACTTGAATCCAAGTTCTGATCCTTCAGGAACGATTCCCTTCGAAATCAGACCTCAGAAATCGATTTAGCACCCTCAAAAACCCTGTAGTCCAAGTTTTTGGCCCTCGAAATTTTTCCATCATAAATTTGTCCATCCAAAACCCAAATTTTGACTTTATTTTTAACCCTCCCAACCGTTTAATCAAGAGACAGACCCCGAGAGCAGCATCAGCGCCCTCAAAACCCCCCCAGTAGGCCTACATGACCTTTAATCAACTCTTAGTTCTCAAAAATCACCCCTTAACCCCTGCTTCCAACCCTCTGCCAACATCTTAGATGATAGTGACCCTCGACATACTCCCGAAATAAATAATAAAACGTTTTTTAAGGAATTTTTTTAATTGCCTTTTTGGCTTAAAACTTTCCAAAGCATTTTTAAGGAAAAATGTTCACAAAAATTCCTACATCAAAAACTTTACCATATGGGTTAAA